GAAAGAGTGGTAATTTCACATGATTTCACAGTAAAATGATTTTCATGCACTGAATCAAAATTATATCAAGAAACAGAGGAATTGCAGGGGAGATACAATGAAAAATATACAAGCATGAAATTGCAAATTACTAAAGTAACACTTGTTAAGTAAAATTATCATTCTCTGTGAAAACAACTTTGAATTTGGCTTCCAAACTTCACATAAGTTGTGCAGGGACTCCATTTAAAGAATGACCAAACCAGATCCTCAAAATAAAATCAAAATGTACAAGATGAAAAACAGATTGAATGGAAACACCGAATTGATCCAAGCCTTTATTCACAAGTCTCTGCAAATAAGAAATTCATAATGCCTAAATCTTACAATAAAAGTCAATTTAAAGACTCGATATGTTTAAAAAACATACAATCCAATGAAGCTCAGGCCAATGCAAATCTGGAGGAGAGATGATATATGCACCCTAATTTTGACAATACAGAGAACCTGTTTCTACGACTAGAACTCATGACCTTGAAATCATAATAAAAGCAACTTAACTCTTGCCTTGGGCTTACCTCAATGACTAAATGTAAAGATGAAATTTGTAAAATATGCACAGCAAAAATATGGCCAGTCATATGCAATTGTCAAAAAATAAATAGTACTGCTTCCAGCTATTTCTATGAGGATATGCACAACACAAATACCATAAAGAATGCATGGCAAAATTAAATGTATCAAATTAAGTCACAGAAGCCATCAGCATTATAAAAAAGGTTCAATCATAAAACATTGCTCATTAATATATTATACCGTGTTACGTTTTGACATGGTCCTGGTAAGCTGGGCAGCTACACCAAAATCACCTGACCAAAGAATCAGATAAATAATCAACACCAAGCAAGCCATTCACGTCTATAAGGGAAAACAGTTTTTCATAAAATAACAGATAACAAAACTTGAAATACCAAGTTAAATGGAAAATTTGAAAGCATCATAAAGAGTGAAAATCGCTAATGATGAAATGATGTGGTGCTCACCCAGCTTTACCTCTCCTTGCTCAGTAAGTAATATGTTCCCCCCCTTTATGTCTCTATGGACCTTAAAAATCGAGTGCAAGTAAGCAAGGCCCTGCATCAGGTAGAAGCTCAACGTCTATCTGAAGAAAGACTAAAAAATTCCTTATCTCTAATTAAATTTAAGTATCATGCAAATTCTTCAACAGAACAAATAAAAGAACAAAATTATATGAATGGTACACATTTGCCACAGTAAAGCATGAGCAACCAAAATGAAATACAGAGACAAAGGATTAACTGTTGCAATCAAACGTGGAATAATAATTTAATTTACTGCAAACAAAACACGATATACCATTTAAGTCTATAAATACAACAAAGAGTATTTGATAAAAGCTGCAGTTTAATTGCTTGAATATTGCAGTGCATTTGTTTCATTGCTTGTCACATTCAAGTTAGTCAGAAAAAAGAAAAACATAACATCACTCATTTTGGGTCATTAACTTGATAGGACTTTGGTAGCCTGATATCTTTAAGGAGGGCCAATATAATTCCTTGGGGCATTAATTTCATGAAATTATTACTTTAGATGCACTCACCATTATCATAATCATTTCCTAAGCACAATTATGAATCCTTATTTTTCATTTGTTCTTGCTTAATGCTCCGTCATGTATCAAATAAATTCTTTGCAAATCGTTTTAAGCAACTTCTAGCCATGTTACCTTAATCTTCAATACATGCAATGCCAAATATTCCTCTAATATAATCATTCTTTAATCCATAATTCTTACTTTTGGCATACATTCATTTAACACTCTCATTCTAAATATGTACAACTTAGATATTAATGATTTTTTTCCTGGTAAACACACAGATTCATAAAAAATTGCCGATATAATTGCTATAATATAAAATTTATCTTTAATTCTCCATGTTGTTCCCTTAACACCAACTTTTGAAGGAAATTCTCCAGTTTAAACCCCAGCCAGAACTTCAAAAATCATATTATCAACTAAGCATTCAATTTGTTTGTAAAATTGAATAATATAGTTAAGCCTATCCTATGTAAGTATCGCTTAGACATCTAATAATATTGATTGACAGTTGTTAACATTACACTAACAAAATTGCATATCATATACAGTGGTTTGGTGCTACTAAGTTTAAGCCCTCTATCTTTTAAACTTGTTTTCAATTGTTCTAATTTTTACTTATTTCAGTGGTTATATCGCCAATTAAAATTATATCATCCATTAAAAAAACATATATTTAGGCACCCTACTTCGAATAGTTATGTTCTATACAGTTAATGAATATAGAGCACAGAGAAAATGTAAAATGAATGTATCATAAGAAAATTTCATTTCAAAAAAAAAATATCCTCTTCATTATTTTTGATTTGAAAGTTTCAAAGATTGAAAGAAAATATCTCATCCAATAATTTCAAACTTCTAAATTCTTTAATGCAACATTTTTACTCTCTTTCTAAAATTTTTAGATCCCAAAAATGGGAGAGAAGTAGAGAGTACGAATTCAAAGAGGAAACAAAGAGTAGTGGTCGCTCAACTGTAGTAGAACTAATAAAAGCTTCTAAATCATTTTTAAGATAGTGACATTAGAATTTAAACAGTTAATTTTTTCAATTTTTTTGCTTTGTTGAAATTTCTGATTTGTACAAGTCTGTAATATTTCATGAAAATTTAAAAAGTTATTTTATATTTAAATCTTCATAAATCATTTCGTATTCTGTTAAGAAGAAAAAAAGGTGAATATTGAAACACAATATCTTTATAATTTCCATAATATTTATACTATATAGAAAAGTAATATAGGGGAAGTGCGGCATGAATTAAATACTATCCTACTCTACAAAACCTTCGCTTCAAGAGCACTAGCAAATCCCAAGCTCCACTAGTAAATGTGTATTCACGACACCTTCTCCGCTCATACTTACATTCATTCTCTTCTCTCAAAGATTGAAAGTTCTCACCTATCCCACCGTTCGCTCGGGGACTTAGAACTTTCAAGAAGGAAATGAGCAGTCAGATGGTAGGATTAAAATTAAATTATTAATTCTAAGTAAGATTAAAATTTAATTATTAATTCTAAATATAAACATAAAGAAAGAGGCAAAAAAATGCACAAAAAGAAATTTTAAAAATCCAAGTTAAAAGAAAATATATCTCCAATGTTGACCCCTTTATAATACAAAATCTTATTTCTATCACTAATTTATATAAAAATATTAAAACAACAAAATGAGTTATCTAAAACAACTTAGTGAAGTTCGGTACACCTCTAAATTACAATAGGTTAATAAAAAGAAGACAATATATATGTTAGCATTTCATATTTGTTATAGAAAATCATATAATAATATTAACGACATATGCTCATATGTGAAATCAAAAATTTTTATATGCATTGGCATTCACTTCATTTTTAGGATTTAATCTTTTAACTTTTACTACACTTCATACTCTTAAATGTATAAATCGTCTCGGAAGAACGTTCTAAATATAATCTAACATACCCCTGGCTAATACCTACCTCTCAGCATAATGGGACGAAAAACAAGTCTACCATTATATGAGATAGAAAGATACCTACACACCCTAGCAGACATTTTCCTATCAGCACTTTAAGATCTAAATTTCACGATGTTTGAGGAAGTAGGAAAGAATCCACGTGCATGAGCAAATTTAAAAGTAACAAAAAAGCTCGTCATTTGTCAACGCCTCGTGTTTGGCTCGCTAAGTACGTCATGTTTGATTCATTCGTTAAGCAAACAAGTCGAACATAAATATTTTTTTCAGTTCGATTCATAAATGCTTCGAACACGAACAAATTTTTGTTTAATCGTGTTCGGCTAGTTTTGGCTCAAATTAATTAAATAATAAATAAATAATATGTAAAAATTAGAAGAATGATATATTTGATATTATATCAAAATTTTTATTTGTATAAATGTTAAAAAAAAATTGGTGTTAGATATGTAAATCTCTGTTTTAAAAGGCGTTTACAGGGTTTGCCCAGGGTGTTCCCCAGGGAGAGAGATAAGCCTATTCGCCCCAAGCCCGTGAGGGGAGCGTAATGCTCACTGGGCGTACGCCCAGGAGCTCCCACAGCGCAATTTGTGCCTCATGGGACGTACGCCCCATCTATTAATCAAATACAACAGCAACAACAACAACAACAACAAAGCCTTAATCCCACTACGTGGGGTCGGCTACATGAATCATTTTTCTCCATTGTGTCCTATTTAGTGTCATATTTTCATTTATTTCTAGTAAATTAAGATAATTTTTAATACAATAAGCTCAAGTCTTCCTAGCTCTACCTCTGCCTTTCTTAACACAAGTCGAATCTAAAACATCTACTCTCCTAATCGGATCATCAGATGGTCGACGTTTAATGTGACTGAACCATCTAAGACGACTTTCTCTAACTTTGTCCGTCACAGGAGCTACACCAACCCTATCACGGATATATTCATTTCGCATTTTGTCTCTAAGTGCAAAGCCACTCATCCACCTAATCATTCTCATCTCGGTAACACTTAACTTATTATTATGCTTCTCTTTTAAAAGCAGGACTTTTCTATCACACAATAGGCCCGATGCATTCTCCCATTTCAACCAACTAACTTAAATTCTACTAATAACATCTCCATATATATATCTCCATCACTTTGAACAATAGACCCGAGATATCTAAAACATTCACACCTTTTAATGATTTGATCAACCATAGGTACAATGCTGTCGCTAGAGCTACTACTACTAAAATTATATTTCATGTATTCAATTTTAGATATACTTAAACGAAGACCTAAATTCCAATGTAGACCTCCATTATTCAAGTTTTTCTAGAACTATTTCTATAGTTCTATCCACAAGAACTATATCATCAGTGAAAAACATACACTAAGGTATATCCTCCAAATGCCCAGTAAGAGCATCCATAATTGAAGCAAAAAAGATATGGGCTTAAAGCCGATCTCTGATGTAATCCAACAGAAATAAGAAAATATTTGGTCAATCCTCCTTCAGTTTGAACACAAGTAACAACTCTAGTATACATATCTTTAATGACTTGAATATAAGTCATATCAACACCTTTCTTCTGAAGAATTCTCCAAAGGATATCTCTTGGAACCTTATCGTAAGATTTTTCTAAATCAATAAAAATCAAATGTAGATTCTCCTTATTATCTCTGAACTTCTCAATCAAACCTCAATAAATGTATAACTTTCATGGTAAACCAGCCCCGAATAAATCCAAATTGACTATGAGAAATATTTGTGATGTGTCTTAACCTATGTTCAATTACCCTCTCCCATAACTTTAAAGTATGACACATCAACTTAATTCACTATAATTTGCACACTCTTGTGCATCCCTTTATTCTTAAAAATGGGGACCAAAAAACTCTTCATCCACTCCTCAATCATCTTTTTAGTTTTTAAAATAATATTAAAGAGCTTAGTAAGCCAAGAAACACCCAAATCTACCAAATATTCCACACTTCAATTGGGATATCATCAGGTCCTACAGACTTTCCACCCTTGGTTTTCTTTGAAGTCTCCTCAACTTCTTTTTTATTAATGCAACGGTAAAAATAAAACGTTTTATTATTATTCACGATATTAAGATCACTAAGATCGATCGTATTTTCAAAAACTTCATTAAAAAGTTTATCAAAATAACTCACCCACCTATGTTGAATATCATTTTCTAAGAAAAATATTTTTTGATTTCCATCTTTAATACACTTTACTTGAGTTAAATCTTTACTTTTTTTTCTCTTTGTCTGGCTAGTTTATACATATATTTTTCACTCTCCATAGTATCTAATTTATTATAAAGATCATTAAAAGCAGAATTTTTAGTATCACAGATTGTTCTTTTAGGCTCTCTGCGGGTCGTTTGATATTTTTCTCAGTTCTCTAAGCTTTTACATTTAAACCAGTTTTTATAACATAATTTCTTATATTTTATCTTTTCTTTCACATTATTATTCCACCACCAACTATTTTTATTTATAAAAATTTTTTTTCTTTTGATTCTCCAAGCACATATTTTGTTACATGTTTAATAGTGTTTGTT